GGCACGGCAAGTCAAAGACTTGTTATTGGGGATACAACAGGATAGACGCGGCGAAGACTGGAGCTAGTTGGCTGACACTAGGCCTGTTGTAACAGATGTGGTCTATGAAGCAATGGCTTAACCATGAGAATTACTCAGAGGCTTTAGCCTCAAGTTAGTCCATCAGAGGCAGAGTGTGGGAACTAACGTTTCGAGTAGCACAGATTGGGTGGCAAGGGTCGAGTGATATACTTAGACCAGGAAGATAGAGATGGATCCTACGGGGCAAGAGGGAGAATCTGATAAGACCTATGGAAAGAGGACTCCGTAACAATATGAGATACTCTGATCAACATTTCCAGCATAAAGGGGAAGGGGGGTGAAAACGCCAGCGTGGAGTGTGGATGGTTCTCATGGAAGCCGCTTTAAAGAGCACACTACACTAGACATTAATGGGCAAGGGGAAAAATTGTTATAATTTAGGCATAGGTGAATAGCCCAGGACGGAAGGAGAGATATCACAACTCTAGCACGCATTTGATCAAAGGATTGGTTTCACTTGTCTAATTGACGAGTTGTGGGTTGGTGCTAAGACTGGCTAGACGCACTAACGATGCCGACTACGGTGCCGGCGAAACGCCTTGGAATGTACCACGTCAACGGTCTGACCTTTGGAAATTATCATGCATACAATGTTTTCCGGACTAGGTCCGTTCCTCTAAGTCTTCCTACTAATATGAACAAGTTGCGAAAATAAGGTCAAACAATTTCTATTGCATAATTCAGTTAACTTGTGAAAATTTTTTATCCATTTAGAAAGGCCATTTTGGAAAGGCGTTTAGATGAAAATTTCGGAGATTTTGCTAGCGAGTTTTATGTTGAGACTATTATAGTAGCTCAAATGATTAATTTGATCAGTGTGCCTTACTTCTTATAATTTGTCAGAAAAGCTCCAGCGCTGATTTTTTTCATTATGCGTTTTTCTTCTAATCTCCTACAATATGTTTTCTGCAAATGTTCTAATGCACTTTTTTAAAATCCATATGTAATAAAAAGGCCATTAATTCACATAAGGCTCAGAACTTATCTTCATTGCTTTGGTCTCTTCGACTTCGACCTAAGTGAACCTGTAAGTCCGCTTTTCACATAGCTCTGAGAAGTCAGCTTGTATCTATTAATATTGATTCATCTTTCTGGTAGCTATCAAAGCTGATGCTAAACAACCTTTTACCTCGGGCTCTTCTATCAGAAGCCTAAGTGCTTATGCAGAATCTTTCATTGTTATGCATCCACTCCTCGTCACATTTGTATAGAGAATATGTCATCTATAAGATGTCAACATGACCTCAACAAATAATAGATAATTGCTTTTTTTAAATTTGCACTCTTGTACTCCAACAACTTATTTTGGCAGTTATCTGATACTAGTGATAAAAAATGGAACCACGAATAAGTAAAATTCTATTTTTCCCCATATAAATTCAGCAGAGCGATATATTTTTAATGTGAGCCAATATTTTCTGCATGTCATCTCCTTCATCATCCTTTTCTCAGCTACACAAAAGCTGAAGCAACCTGGATTATAGTTCTTGGAAGAAAAGCATTTGATCATTTGCCTATTATGCACTTGTTTTTACAGAACAGGAAAGTTTTTGCAGAAGATATCTACTCGAACAGTTTGGATTGGAAAAATGCTAACCTAGCGAGACCACATATGTCTACCAGCTGGTAGGACCACTCGGAGAATACCCTTTACCTTAAAGCAAATGTGATTACTTTGGGCTAAATTATGGCTAGGTATCTGCCCTGAAACAGCCATTCCCTACTAGTGCAACAATTTAATCAATATGATTATATAGAAACCAATTAGACCATGGAATAAGTATACTTATTTACCAAAATCACCTATAGGAAGAGAGAAGTTGTAGTTATTTAAGTTGGCTAACCAAAGCCGTTAGTGTTAGCATAGCTTTTTTCTCGAGACCGCGTTCAGGCAGAGTCTGGAATAGGAGAATAAAGTGGCGCAAAAGTCCTTTTGAACTATACTTAGACAAATAAGACATTTATTGTAGCATCCCAAAATCATTAAAGTTGAATAAAAACTATAGCTGACTTGTGATTGCCGAAAGAATTATCAAAAATGAGGGCAGCATATCCGTCGAATTTTAGGCAAATTCATGGTCCTAATCGGTCAAACTATTAGTACAACTTCATTTATTCTTATGCATAGCTTTCCATTCTATCTTTCCGCTTCCCTTCACATTCTAAACCCATCGGGAAACACTTTTTCTCTCCAGCAAAAGCGTCTGAAGCGCTCTCTCCTGGTTTGCGTAAGTGCCTATTCACGCATGCCTCTGTGACGCAACCCGCTCTGCCAGAGCTGCATTCTTCCTGAATACAGGGTTTTTTGGAAGTGGCTCAATTCATCTATACTCAGATTTTCATTTTTCACTCGTCTCTTTACTCTTGCCTATTTCTCATTTCTTACTCTCTTATCACCCACACATTGATAGCTTCAGTCAGGCTAGGGCATGTGCTTATGAGTGCGTTATATGCACTTGATTGAAGAACTACTGTCTACCCCATATAAGATACTCTTTTAGGAGGCGATGCTAAAGGAAGATCATTATGGAAAAGATTGACTGTCAGTCCTTAAATCGTCCTAAGCAACCTAAGCTAAGTTCTTTTTCAATAATTACCGATAGTCTTAAATACTACTTATACCTGAACTAGGCCGTTGATTTAAAAGTCAAACACATATTCATTCAATTGAAAAATTCACTATAAATGTGACTCGCGTGACGCCTGACTTGCCTTGAATGCCAAATTTGCTGGCACCCGTGAAATGTTAACGCCGCCACGATATTCATGATTCAAGATAGAATCCCGCTGGAGGAGCTGATGATGCCTAAGCGAGGCCAAAACGACAATCATAATGGGTGAGATAGCCATTTCGGAGACAGGCAAGGTGCATTTAAATGACATCGTTAGATCTAATCATCTCATTTTAGGAAAATTCATTTTCATCAAACTCACATCTTGTGATGGTTAAAACAGAAATTTTTTCTATTTAGAATACCTTTGAAAAAGTAGGTTAAAAGGGTTGATATGCCTCACCCGTTTATATTAATTAGAATAGAAAAATGA